AGATCTATTTTCATCATTATCATCTAGATCTTGAAAATTAGAATGAGATAAATCCATTGTATTTTGAATAATTAAAACATAAGGTTCTGGAAGTTCCTCATTAGCATTTATATCATTATTTTCTTCTTCTAATGAAGATGTTTCTATATCGCCATCATCCCCATTATCCTCCTCATTATCATCTTGAGTTGCCAAAAAAGTATCCAATATTTCATTTTCAGAAATATTTCCTTCTGCTATTTTCAATTCTCCTTGCAATTTGAGAGATAATAATTATGAAATTTTTGCTAATGGTTCAGTACTTAAATTGCACCTTTTTTTTCATATAACCATCCAAACTTGTCCAAAATCCTTTCACAAGAAGCTTGCACATGGTGTAATAGCAAACAATTTTTTAGCAAATTGTTGAATATAATTAATAAATAAAATTTAATTTAATAAACAAAATAAATAAAAATTATAATAAATAATTAATTGCTAGACATTCAAAAGTTAGGTGATGTTCCATCATAGTAGGAGAACCCTTATTTCAATGCTTCCACAACTTTTACAATCAGCAAAATAATGACCAGAAGAAATTTTTATTCTTTATTAAGTAAATGGCATGTGGGTGTCCACCTTTTTTATTTGTGTATCTATTTCATTATTAATAGGTATTAGAGAAAGTGATGAAGGTGAAGATGAAAAAAAATGTGTGAAAAAGAGTGTGAAAAAGATAGAGGAGGCCAAGGAGAAGTTTGTTGAATATTAGATTTAACGTTTGTGAAAATATGATTAAAAAAAATATATATAATAATGTGGTTTTAATGATGCTGTCAAAAATCATATTAATATTTATATTAGCTCCAAACAAATCAATGAAATTCAAACCGATTCGAATCGAATCACCTAATTTTTGATTTGATTCGAACTGATCCGATCCAATTTGATTTGAACTGATTTGAATATATAATTTGATTCGAACCGATTCAACTCGACTCGATTTGAACTAGTGATGGTGGCTGAAACTACGCTTAGTGGGTAGTGATGTTAGCCGGTAGAAAACCTTAGCCGGCTAAGCTGGCTAAGAGCTTGAATAAATTTTTTGTCTAATAATTCAGTAAACAAATAACATACTTTGTATGAGTTCACTAAAAATCGGGTTTTATTATTTTACTAAACGTTGGGCGTGAAATTTAAATTGGCCAATCAGAATTTTGTATCCAAAAATTTTTAGATATAATAATAAATCCATTTTCACGCACAACATAAATAAAATCACTGCTGATGAATATGGCAAAAAATTATAGTCAGCTAACACTTGATCAAATGAATTACAATTAAAACTAGGGATGGGAAATTGCATGAAAATTTCAAACTTCATGCACATGATGCGCATCTGCTGATCTTTTTTATTTTTTAAAAAAAAATTATTATTAAAAACAAAACAAATTTTAATCACTAATATTAGTCACTGATTCAATGTGCCATTCATAGTAACCGTGATTTTTTTTCGCGCATAGTGCGTATAGTGCGTATAGGGAAATATCATAAATGCGCATATAATAATAAGAAAGTAAATGGCATATTTAATTTTTTTTTAGAAATGTTTATTAATAAGTAAATGTCTATAAAAAATATATCTAAAACCTTATGCGTAGCACACTATGCGCGGCACATCTCTAGTATTTAGACCAAGCCAACCATATTAGTCTAGAGTATTACTCGTAATACAATTTAATATTAATATTAATATTCAATTATTCGTTTTATTCGTTTTATTCGTTTTATTGGACTAAACTTTCAATGTAACTCGAGTACTCAAAATTCATAATGATTAAAGCAAATAATTTGAATAAACCTTATTTGAATAGAAAGCCTAGCTGAAACAATAGTTAAATCATGAAAACGATATCGAAACTATAATTTCTGCATTTCGGCACTATCTATGTAGGACTTTTATCTTTCGGCATCAGGTTAAACAGGTTCTAGCAGGAAACCTTGGATCAGATGAGTTAGAAAAAACGTGACATCTCTTATTCGAAAACGTAATAAAAACTCACGCAGTAAGACAAATTATTATTCTAGTCCAAAGTGATGATCAACAGACTGGAAAATTTTTTGTCTGTGTATAAAAAAATGATGTAAATTACTTAATTGACGAAAGAGTGAAAGATTATGATTCAATCATTATTAATCAATAACAATAATAATAAATAATTTTATTATTATCATTTAATAATCAAAAAATCATTAAATGTAAAATTTTTATTTGATAAGAATTTTATTACTAAATATGGATTATCATTTTAATAAAAATATTTATTACTGCGATTATCATTTTAATATACTGTAGTTATTGCATTAATATTGTTCTTTGCTGATTCGAATTATTAATTGTAATTAATAAATGATTTTAATAAATATTACGCGTCGATGGCACAGTCACCTCTTTTATATTTATATCCCATTAAAGATTTGTGAAACCACCAATTATTTTTACAATCATTTCAAGATACAAGCGTGAAATTTTTGGTAAATTAAATGTTTTCTACCAGTGATAGAAAACGATTTACAATCTTATTTTCAAAAAAAAAAATTTTTTTTAAAGTCGAGAAACAACAATAATAACAATTACAGTACTCCATATATGGATGGCTGAACGAATACCACTGGCTACTACTATCCAAACAATATCTAATGTTTTGCAAAGTTTGTTGTGCTTCAAACAAAAAATCATTTTAACCAAAGCTTTATATCATATAAATGCAGAAAGGATAGACGAACTCAAACAAAGAAATATGGCTGGCTACAATATTTTTAGAAGTCAAAGGCAAGCAAACCACAATAATCTTAACAACAATCACTACAACAATTACCAGAAAAAATCACATCGTTAGAAGAAAAATAGCCGAATTTTTATGTGAAAATGATCATCACCGAAATGCGTAATGCTGTCATCTTGATAATAATAGTAATAGTAATTGTAGATCTGCAGTTGAAATATTTAATCAAGAAAATAAATCAAATAACACGGTTATTTTATGTTCATACTTTGGGGAATCCGAATGTTCCCGAAATATTCGGAAAATGCAGAAACAATTTGAACAACAAAAGAAATTGTGTAATATAAATTGAATTAATAATTGGTTGCATATTTCACAAAACAATGGCTTGTTATACTGTTGGTTATTCCTGGAGTAAAAGAGAAGATCCATTAGGAATTTTATGTTGACGAATCTAATGCAAAAGTAATTACAATTAATGGAAAATATAGGAAATGAAATAAAAAGGTTGAAATAGAGATAGAATTGTCAGTAATGTAAGTTTCTTAGCATTGTTTGAATTTATCACTAGTTTGATTTATGCATGATATTAAACCAATTAACGATTATTTTTTTAAAAAGTAATATTGATCCGATTGTATTGTTGACAGTATTGTTAGACAAAAAGGAAATTATATTATTAATTTTTTTTGATTATCAGTGGGTAAATTTGTTTTGTTTGTTTTGATTTTATATTTGGGCTAAAAAAATTTTCTTTGTTTTTATTTTATTTGGATTAAATATATTAAATTATATTTAAAAAATATTTTATATAATATTTATTCAACAAATTTTTTTTATTAATGGCTTGTTTTTATTTTCATTTGTAAAAATTTTTTTTAAGTTTCAAAACGTATTATTATTATTTCAGGTTTCTTTTAAAACTTGATCAAAAAGAACGAATCAATCATATGGTGAAAATTTTATTTAGAATGATGATCAACGTCCAGCATATTTATTTATTACACATTTTGACCTGTTGCCCGATCAGGTGAAGCTAATTCCCACCGTTCTATCTCCATAAAGTCATTTCTCAATCCTAAATTGTAAACAAGGCTCGTCATATTTAATGAATTGAATAGTATTGGTGAACTTGGGGAGTTCCTGCATTTCATATTAATGTTTGCATATATATTTGTCCTTTATTGGGGATGTTCCAAAACTGTAAATAATGGTTGTAACCGGTTTTAAACTATTACTATGTATTGCCATCACAAAACAGCGAATTATCATTCACGCCATGCATAATCTCAAAATCTTAATATTAAGTTACATATAAGTTACATACTGATCTAAATTTTTGTGTAATTATTATGTATTAATTAATGCACAGGTAAACTTGATAAAGTTAATAGAAAGGGGTGAGTAACTGCAAAGTCACGATTTGAGAAGACCGAAAAAAGATCGGCATTTCTATTATTGTTATTATTTAATATTAATGGAAAAATCTCGAAATTTTCAAGTGGATAAGCTAAAATTATAACTCGAAATCATAATGTGGTATAGTTTCTAAGCTGAAATTAATCCTGTGGTGAATTGCATGTAGAAGTTGCGGTGTTAACTCAAAATCACGATTTTGTCCACGTTCCATATATGCAAATTACCGACTTATTGAGTTTACACCTATATATGTTCAAAGCCTTTGCCAAGGAACTATAGATTAAAAAATCAAGGTGGTGATAGTCATTTTAAATTATTTATATAGTATAAAAAAATTTAATCGTTTATCATGTGTCTTAAACGAACAGGTATGATATAATTTCAATTATTTAACAAAAAAAAAAATTTTTACTACAATAATAATATAATTTTACCTGAATGGTTAATGGCACAAGAAAAATTCATTGATGTATGATTTTTTTTCGCTATATCCAAAATTTCGAATTCTCGGATTTTATTCTGTAGTAATAATCTCAATTTGTAAGGAGAAAATATGTTGAACTATAGCGTCTTCATTTCAGACCATATTATTTGGAAAACTTGATGAACTTTGCTTATCAATATGATTGAATAGATGGAAAGACTTACAACTGGAAATTGTTAATTTACGATGGAATAAGCCAGTGGTATTTATCCAGAAATATAGGAAAGCTGAATCATGAAATTATAAATTATGAGAGGAAATAACACATTAATTTCGAAGGCTACGTTTTAAGACTCGACGAATCTCGATAACAATAGCTCAGTGAAAAATTGTCGCATGCGATCATGAGAAATAAGTTGCAGACATTATTATTATATATCAACGTTCTCGACAAGAAAACTGTGAAGTCTTTGATTCCATCATGAAAAAAAAGCGAAAACCAATATCTTGCAGTATAAGATTTTTAAAAAATTATTGGAGATGCGAACGATTTTATTGGAGCTTCAAGAGAGTATTCTGGCATAATCTGACATCTATAGGATTAGGAATCATGAACTTTCTACTTTTGTGAAACATAGACTGAAGATAAGAGCTAGATAACGAATGCAAAGATCTGGGCCTCAAAAACGATTACGATATTCCTTTCTGAAACTGGAATATCATAGAGCTTTAATGCATCAAATAAAATATTCTTGCTCGAATTTG